ACAAAATATTGTTACATTAATTTCTTTAACATTGTACTTACGAATGAGATGACATTATTTTGGTGTCTCTGTTCTTTTTTCCCGTTTGTGTTCCCGTGTATTTTGTGTTGTATCTAAAAACACACTAGGTCATGAAAAACGTAAAATATTTACACGTTGTAGCAAAGTGTGGCCGCGGCGTGAGAGCGTGCACGTCTGAATGCAAGTCGGTCAATTACCTGACTTTCGTATTGCCATCTAAAAGCGTTTATGACGTATCCATAACTTTAAAACATCATAGCATGTATACCAATCCATGAGGATTGTAGTGTTTGTTTTTAAACAGAGCGTGACACTGACACACGTAGGACAGCTGTTTTGTCTATGATAGCGAACCGCTTACGTCAGCGTAGCTGTCAAACTTCATTGATTGGGTTGGTAGCCTTGAGGGAAGAGTCGATTTTCCTATTCGACTAAAATATTCGCCTTGAGACTTATAAAAAAAAAAAAAAAAAAAAAAAAAAAAAAAGTAATCAGGCGGAAAATCTCTGTGGGGGCGCGTGGATGAATGGATGGAGTTTGACAGTTGTTGAATTTTGAATAGTCTTTCCCAGATCGATTTGAGTCCTCCTTATCGGGTGCTGTTTTTTAATCGATTTTGAATTTTACTCGAAATTGAATTTCCTCGCTGATTTGGGTAGGTATTCCTTTTCCTCAGCTTACGGCGAGCGTAGGTATATAGTTTTGAGTTTATTCTTCGGTTCGTCTCGAATGCGGCGGCTGTCTGTTTGACTGTGGCCTTTGCCTTCAGTTGAAGTGGGAAACAAATCATAGACACATGTTTGGGAGTAGACGATTCATCTATCATCTATGAGCAATTGTCAAAACAACTTTTAAAATTTCACAATCTGTTTGTGGTACAGTTAACTTTTCATCTTTTCTTCTGCCCAAAGTATAATAAACGGCATATTATTGTCGTCGAAGTCGTGAGATAGATCCGAAAAGTTTATATCCCGAAGGATATTGGCGGAAAAAGCGCGGAGTCGCTAACCGAACTGAGTTTCGTAGGTGGACGAACACGAACCTTCGCAAGGCAATTGCAACAATAAGGCGGTAACTTGTGATAGGAAACAAAATACTTACGGATAGTTTCATATTTCGAACGGCTTGTACGTTCCCCTCAAGAAATACTGGAGGACTAACAAGGAGACTTTTGTTCTGTGCACGGACCAGAAGGGGCGCGGGAGTTTATTTGCCAGCCGCTCTCCGGTTTTATGTAACCCGGCCGAACAGCAGACAGATTATACACAGCTTAACCTATCATAATCAAGGTATTTCTCTACTAACCCCGGGTGAACGTGAAAAGGAAACAACAGGCGAGGTTGGACCCCGACTTACCCATTTCCATATATTTACATATATCTATATAGCTGGTTATCTCACTGAGAACTAGAATTAACTAAGTTTGTCACCAATATCGATCAAACGAGCCGTAGAACCTCTGAAATCCACTAAATAGCTTATTCAGTATAGTCTATGTGGTATTTGTGGATAAAAAATATTAGTAAGTATTATATTGTAAGTACATGGTAAAAGTGTTATGAATGTCTGATATTCTTATAATTATAACCTTTCATGACAACTTGTTGGTTTATATACACATTAACTTTGAACTACTGTATTCAGCTTAGATATTTATAATTAGTGAAACATAGTTATTATATAAATAATAAACATAGTTAGACTTGTTGATTTATATAAGCAATAACTTAAAACTACTGAATTCCTATGCTTTGGTATCTAAAGTGGATAAAATATACTTATAACATTATCTTAATTTTTTTTGGTTTTCTTTTATTGTTCCCCCGGTGCTCTGAGTGGGCTAAAGGAGGGCTGTTGAAGAGAATTTAACATCACAGGATTTCAAATCCGCTCTTCCGCCTGAGAGAAAAAAACCAAACGTGTTTGTGGCGGCGGCTTCCATCCATCGCAAGAGTTCAATTTAATATCTCACGTAACAAATATCATATTATGAAATCTAATTAGAATTATCAACCCAAAAATGAGAGTATATAGGGAGCAGTACTGTTTGTGCCATTAGCGGCTTCTAAAACAAAATTTTCCACATTATCGATTACATACAGATTTTTCGAATCTAAAAAGAACAGGGGGCCAATCGCCTAACGGAAATGCTTTGGGAAACGCTAACGCTTACGATTTTATATTGTTATTTCTAGCCGCCTGAGGTTTTCGAATACCTCACACTCATTTTTTTTAATATTGTTATTACCAATGCAAAAGAAAAAGAAAGAGCGCGAGGCATTTGAATTTCCGTTAGGCGATTGGCCCCCAGTTGACTTAATCAATCAACAGAAGCGAAGTGTAGGAAACCAGACAATCAAGAATTCACAAATCGAACAAACTGATGATGTTAACAAGAAGGTTACATTACTTAATGAGAAATTCTTTGAAACTTCGGTATAATGCCGGTTATAATGCCAGTTTTGAATAATAGGCTATTTGACAGTATGAAAAATAAGTACTTACCAATTGTTGGCATCTGGATTTAATATTAATATTTGCAGAGATTTTACTAATCGGGGACAACAAATAATTAATATTTTTTCTAAATAATCATTAAATAGAAGTGTTTTTTTTGTTCTACGGTCACGTGACCGAAAACGCCTAGTATTGGCGAAAATTAAAATGATGTCACACGCTAGTAATTTCTGGTCAAAGTGACATTAAATTGTATCGTTAGGCGGTTTGAATGACAGTTAAGTGACATCACGCCGTGAGACGCCATAATGCCCAGAGAAACGTTTTCGCGGCAACTTTAAAATGGTATTTTTTAATTCGTTTTTTTTACTAAAATACGCAACATAGGAATCCCAAGTTTTCGTATAGCTGTTTTGGTCACAGTTGCGATGTAGTCTTTTGCATTCAAGTCCGGAAGAACTTCCATACTGAGCATGGTGATGTTGCTCTGAAGCACCAGTGTTGTGCCCAAGAGAGGGAAGGCGAAGGGGTAGTGATGTTTGGCCGTGAAATTGCAAACTTGGATTTTCTTAGCATTGAACTCAACCGAGATCCTGGTACCCTATTCGGAAATGTGGTACAAAGCCTGATGAGTTCAATGATAAGATTCTCCTGTTTCTCCTTGGTTTCTACCTGTCCTGCCGCTGCGTATTCAAAGTATGCAGAATGCAGGCATACACTATACTATTGTCTGCATAGCAATGAATATTCACAAGAGAAATTAAATCATTGATATGCAGCAGAAAGAGTGTGGGGTATAGGACAGAACCCTGAGGAACACTGGCATTCAATGACATGTACTGCGAATTACATTCGTCTGTAAGGACTCAAATTCAATGCTCATGCAGGAAGTCAGCCACCCAGGCACAGAATTGAGCAGGCAGACAGTATGCAGGAAGCTCAGAGAGAAGACTTTTTTGCTTATTTTCACAGAAGAGAAGTTGGTGCAGACACTCATACTTCTAGATTGGAGAAAGAGAAGTAAAAACGTAAATACCTAAAGTATCTTAAATACTCTGCCAACCAGGCAAGTTATGTATTAGGGTATTTGACAAGTTTTTTGAAAACGATAACTAATGTTTATGGAATCCACAAAAAATGGATATTCATAATTCTGTTGCATATTTTAGTAAAAAAAAAACTAATTATTTTAAAATACCATTTTAAAGTTGCCACTAAAATGTTTCTCTGGGCATTATGGCTCTGGCTTATGTCTCAGGGCTATGTGACGTCACTTTACTGTCATTCAAACTGTCAAACAATACAATGTAATGTCACTTTGACCGGTAGTTTACTAGCCTGTGCTTTTGTTAACATCATCAGTTTGTTCGATTTGTGAATTTTCAATCGTCTGGTACACTACACTACACTTCGCTTCTGGATGTTGATTGATTAAATCGACTGTTCTTTTTAGATTCAAAAGATCTGTATGTAATTGATAATGTGGAAAATTTTGTTTTATAAGGCGCTAATGGCACATACTGCTCACCTAAATACTCTAATTTTTGGGTTGATAATTCTAATTTATTTGTTATGCGAGGAAATCTTACAATGGATGGAAGCCACTGCCACAAACACGTTTGGTTTTTTTCTCCAAGGCGAAGGAGCGGATGGGAAATCCTCATGGATGGTATACATGCTATGATCTTTTAAAGTTATAGATACTTCATACATGCTTCTAATTTGGCAATAGGAAAGCCAAGTAATTGCCTGACTTGCATTCAGACGGACACACTCTCACTCTGCAGCTACACTTTGCTACAACGTGTAAATGTTTTATGTTTTTCCAGATCTTCGTGTGTTTTTAGATAGTACACAAAATACACGAGAACTAGAAGAGACAACAAAAACATCATTTTATTTGTAAGTACAGTTTTAAAGTAATTAATGTAACAATATTTTGTGATTACATACTTATTTTGACAATTGCTGACACCGTAGACACATAGAGGCTAAAGAGCGCGATGTAATCTGCTAAGAATGAGAAAAAGACTACTTCATATATTAAAAAATTCAATTATTAGTTGCTCAGTCAGCAACAAGGGTGGTTGTGTAACATCTTCAATAAAAAAAAACTTATTTAAAACTGCTAAATGAAACAAATAAAAATATTTGAGAAGGGGATTACCACCCTACTACTCCCCCTCCATGGAAATGTAAAGATTCTTGGGTATTCATACATTTTGAAATAGATCTAAATATTATGGAATAGAGCTAAAAATAATAATAGGTAGTTTAATGATAATTATTATATATGCTTACATGCTATATAGTTTGTAAAAAAGGTAATGAAATAAACACAACCTGAAATATTTCAATGTTCTGATAAGGATATGAAATTCTAGTTAACCTGTTTATGGGTTATTAAATTACACGTTTGAAAATAAAAATTAAATAATAAATCTTTTCACCAGCCGATAGGGCATTGCAGTGCAAACAGGTGTTTTCTGAGATAAATAGAAAATATCAAGTTCAAGACTCACTTTGCTCATTGGAAGCTGTCACTGCTGCGTCGTTCACATATGATCCGCTCCTCACAACGGGACCCCACTGTGGTCGTCTTCCGCCATCCTTAGTTTCTGTCCTTTCTACATCATCAGCTTTGCACAAATGAAGAGCGAATACGCACCAATAAAGCATAAAACCGATACGCATCGTGATCCCAATGACATTAACCGCACAAAATAATACACCACTGTCGGGATGTTGCACACATACACATTATAAAAACACGCTTATTTAGAGAATTTCTTTTTCGAGAGGCACTTATCACGAAAAATGAAACACATAGAAAATAGGAATTTATCACAGAAAAGACTACCTACGAAAAGGTGCGAGGTCGGAGAATTTTACGTTGAGCCTTTTTATTGCTAGTGGCAATCTTAAAAAAAATCATCCTTGTATTGCCATAACAAATAAACTTCTCGATTTAAAAAATCGATATATTTTGTATATGTATACTACTATATTATTCGTTCATTCAAAAAGTGAAAATCCTATTGCGGGATTTACACTACCCAATTATAAGGGACCCTTACCCTGACTAAGGGTAGTGTAATGTGAGTTAGGGAGTAAGGCGCAGTATAATAATTGCTACCACCCTAGCTAGGGGCCACACCCACCGTTTTGATCGGGCCCTTAAAATTGGGTAAAGTAAAGCCTGTTTATGTCCATGGGTAGTTTATGCTTTTCGTGAATATACCCGCTGATCTTAAATGTACGCAAGAGATATATTTTTTAATAGTTTTAAAATTTATAAAGCAACTGTTGCCAGTGCGGACCTAAGAGATGTTCTAAGGTGCGAACAAATGGGTCAAATAGTCTAAAGGGCAAACAATCCTGCCTACAAATTTTGCGTCTGTGCCATTGGCCACCACTCTGGTCACTAGTCTGTGGAATGCAGCTTTACTTTACAGTGTAGTCCGTGCTTAAGCTGTGACCTCACATCCGTTCATGCGTCAATACAACAGAATAGAGTAAGAAGTGACCTTGTCAGTTTGTAAACAATATTGTACGATAGATACCTTGAATCGCGTTTATTAACTAATTTCTTACTAGTTCCTTTACTATTTTGGTGCCGTGTGTGAAAAAGAACGCGTTCATATAAAAATGAATATTGATTTCGAAGCCATGGCTGTTTTGGAAGAGGAGTCGCAAAATGTAAGGACACGATCTCTTTGTTTTGACTAGCTTTCTGTGTTGTATTGTCCATGTACATCTATTTTTAGCTCATAATTTTACATGTGACTTTTCTACTGTACCAATTATTGTAGATTTGTGGCATTAGTCGTCCCTCCACGGCCGTCAGTGAGCAGACTGCTTTGTTTTCATTGTGACAAGTCATTGAATCTTATGTATTCAATTTGATGCCATTGCATAATTCAAGAACCTATTTCATCATGTTTTTAATTTGGTATTGCGAGATTCCAAGGCCACTGCATACTTATAAACATTCAATGCAAAGCTTATCAATGAAGGAAGTAAAACAAACAAAGCTATCTTATCTCCTTTGTATTATTATTCACTATAGATCTAGGTCTGTGTTATTCAAGCTCGCCAATATTGATGAGTGACAGTTTTTGCTTAATGTCATTTGTTTCATTTGATTTAGGGTTTTAAAGCTGCTGTAATAGAACACTTTTTATCCTCAACAAATTTTGGATTTCTAAAAGATTAACAAAATATTAACTACACACATACTGTGCTGCTTTCCCTTATTCAGATAGCTCATGTATTTGATTACATTAATCTGTGTGCAGATTAGAATTCTTGTTTATTTATTTCATAACAGGAGCAACAAATTACCCCACACCACCTGGTGTTTTAAGTGTAAGTGGAGTCCAGTTGCAAAGATAGATGATGTGGCAGAAGGTGCCACACCAGCTGCCCCACCTCACACGTCTGAATCCAATCCCCTATACATCGGAACATGCAAGCCCTTTACCCTCATTAAATGTGTTACCTATACATTTTTTAAATCAATGCAGACAATATCAAGTACTAGGTAGTTGTGTCAGCAAACCAGAAAAAGATATTATTACTACAACAACAGGACAATGCCCATTTTTCTTAGGACATCCGTACCAACTTGCATCAAACCAAATTTACTCTCAAGAGTTGTTTTTATCTAACTTTTTACTATCAAAAATATTTTGTCAATGTTTAACCACATATTAGAAAAAAATACATTAGTTGGAAAACAGACACAGTTACAGACACGGCACTTCAAAGTCACTATCTCGATAGTCCACATAAAAGTCACTATCTCATCACTGTCAATACTTATTATAGACGTGATGAATTAATTATACGATAAAACTACCAGATCGACTCAAACGCAGCAAGAATAACATCGACCAAACAAACAAAACAAACATCATCACAACAAATACGAAATTGACATTGACACTGACAGTTCCGTAATTAGGCATTCCGAATCGCCATGAATTTATGTTTTGAGTTTCGAAAATACGCAATATTTACTTTTTGAAATGGTGAAATAAAATAAAATGATATGAAAGAATTACATATTTTATTTTCTACTTTAAAATCTTATTTACTTAGACAGTATTGTACTATATTAAATAAAGCATTTGTGGTTAATTTTTTGTAAGTACATGTAACTTATAACGCCTTTCATTATCATCAGCGTATTAATGTCCCCACTGCTGGGGCACAGGCCCTATAGATGGAATAGGGGCCCAGCGCATATTGGTGGGTTGGTTGGGTGGTTACAACACCTTTACTTTATTTAATATGAAATCATGAAATTTGTAGCAAAAGACTGCCATTGTCTTCAAATTTCATACTGGCACAGTAACATATATAATATTATATAATATGTAGTGTTTTTAAACAATGCTCTGCTAAATTTAAGTTCAAACATAAGGAACAAAAAATATTTTTATAAACAAAATATTATTAAGTATTAGTTTCATATTATCCCTGATCAAGAAAAAGTGAAATACATTACTAAACATTATCTAGAGTCCAGTTCTACAGAGACATCTAGTTTTGTTTGATGTAAGTATTCATAAAAAGTGTACAAAACAGTGCTTTTATTCTAGAGTTGGTTTTAATTCACAATGTCGAGCACAGGTGGCGCTTAAATGTATTAGATTGTTTCTTAGGTTTTCACGCACATCACTGAATTAGATTGTTCTGTATCCAACTGAAGTTCTGTCTTTATATTAAAGCTTGCTGATCAATGCAAAGTCGAAACTCCTGGGTATAGAAGTATAATATTTTTGAACAAGCAAACAGCTAAGGGTACGGTACTCTATTACCACAACGGACGTAATGAGAACTAAATATCAGTACTCATTTGACGTACCTATATCTAGATCTAGGTCGAATTCAATTATTCGAATTCGATAATGGTTCGTATTGAGGATACTGACTGGACAAAAGTTCGCGGGTGTCCCCGAAAAATATCAACTCCTCGGCGGACTTTTTTTTTCAGGATAAAAGTGTCCTCCACGGACAAAAGTCCTTCGTTTGCGTAAGCCATTATTTTATGTATTCGGCATTCCAAAAAATCTTTCTTCTGAGTAAGCTTCGCTCAATGTAGGAAACGAGGTTATTAAATATGAAAAAACTCTCTTCCATTTCTTTCCTTGGCTTTTCCATAAGGCCTAAGGAGATTGCTCAGCTTCCATACATGTTTGGCCTAAAGACCAATAATCATGAAAAATTGTTTCCTAGATTCGAAATTATATATACATTACTGTAGAAACGAATATTATTGACAGACACCCCTGAGAACTTCTATAAACCATATGCACTGAATGATTTTGAGGTTATGTTTGCAAATAGGTACATAGGTATTAAAATAATAAAAAACAAATAAGTTATATAGCAAACTAGGGAAATCAAACCAAGTACCGTAATTATGTTTTAGATTCAGGTATATAAAGCATGTAGATTAATAGATAGTTGCCTGTTTTTAAAGTTAGTAACTTTTAAAATCAGGTATCATCTATGCATTTCCGGTTATAATAAGGTACTCCGTGACGGAAACTGTGTGTTATTTGTGACTGAGCCACAGATTTGAAAGAATTTTTAAACTCTCGATAACTAAAGAAAGCTTCTTGTTTTTGTTATGTTTTTATTATAACCATATTTTAGATTTTTAGTGTATCACACCTTATAATATGTTTATGGAGGTGTTTGGCGAAAAATGTATGGCAATAGACTTTATGATGTCGCCTACCATCTAATATTGGTCTTAGCACATTTGCATGTAGTAAAAATGATAGTATACTTGTGGATATTAATACCAGTGTAATAAAAAAAATGTTTTATTTTATCGATCTTTACAAAATAGAGTTGTTTTGATTTTATATAAACAACTTCGATCAGTCTTTGGCTGAATGTTACTATATCCATAGCCATTAAAAATGATTCGTATGTTTTCCAAACCGGTAAAATTAAAAGTCCTTTTTTAAATGAATTTATTATACAAAGGTGTCCGTTAAAATCTAATGACTGTAAAATAAAGTATAAATTACCCCAAGAATTACCGTATATGCCAATATTTTTTTTACATTTGGGCCAATTTGAGCAATTTTAAGATGTAAAATTAGCAAATTATAATAACGACTTTTTGGTTTTTACTCCCCTCTAAGAAACTATTTTTTACGAAATTTGGTGAAAATTATCTTTTTATGTCCCAAACACACTCTAATTTTTTGGAAGAGAATTTATTTTTACACTCTCTTTGATATTATATCGAAGAAGTAACCTTATCTTTTGAATTCGAAAAACTTTCCTCATTTTTTTTTTAATAAATTTAAAAATAGATGATGATGGAAAATTTTCTCAGCAAATGCAAATGCGTCCTCACGGTTCTCGACATTCTAACGGGGGAAAAGTTTATCGCGATTTTTGGTAAAACTACAATTTTTTTAGTTAGAAAGTTTTAAAACCAAAAATTCGATTATTTTGCATTCTCGCAGATTTTTTAGGTTAGGTGGAAAGTGTGAATGCAAAAAATCGTTTAATTATCTACAATTTTGTCATTGTTTTTTTCGATTGGAGTTGTAGTTTTCTCAAATCGTCAGTAAAATATTTTTCTCTATGTGTATGTTCTCTGCCTTTTCAAATGAATTCAACCTGTTCTGATTTTATGTTATCAAAAATTATCGGCCCTAGTTTTTATATTAGCAACGAATTTCAAGGTCATAAATTCTGGCACATGTTTAATATAAAATAATTCAAAGAAGTTTATTCATTATGTAACCATTTATATACCAAAATGAACTTAACAAAACATAGATTTTGATTAACTTTTCTTTAGATATAAACATCTAGCAGTTAAATGCTTAAAAAATAAATAAAAACATAACTATAATTGCTATTTCTTCTTTCAAATGTTTAATACTTGAAAAAGTATTCATTTGACATTGTGGGTTACCTACAATGCGAAGAGATGGCGCTGCATTGCAGCTTAAGGCTAGGAAAATTTCGACGCGGCGAATAGGGCCGTGGTAGCATAATGGTCAGTGCATTCGCCCGGATTGCGAAGGATGCGGGTTCGAGTCCCATCCGCTGCCTGGTCCGCGTGAATTTTTTTCTAGTAAACTTTTCTTTAGATTTAAACATCTAGCAGTAAAATGCTTAAGAAATAAATAAAAACATAACTATAATTACTATTTCTTCTTTCAAATGTTTAATACTTGAAAAAGTATTCATTTGACATTGTGGGTTACCTACAATGCGAAGAGATGGCGCTGCCTTGCAGCTTAAGTCTAGGAAAATTTCGACGCGGCGAATAGGGCCGTGGTAGCATAATGGTCAGTGCATTCGCCCGGATTGCGAAAGGATGCGGGTTCGAGTCCCGTCCGCTGCCTGGTCCGCGTGGATTTTTGTTTTCTAGTAAAATTTTCTTTAGATTTAAACATCTAGCAGTTAAATACTTAAAAAATAAAGAAAAACATAACTTTAATTGCTATTTCTTCTTTCAAATGTTTAATACTTGAAAAAGTATTCATTTGACATTGTGGGTTACCTACAATGCGAAGAGATGGCGCTGCCTTGCAGCTTAAGGCTAGGAAAATTTCGACGCGGCGAATAGGGTCGTGGTAGCATAATGGTCAGTGCATTCGCCCGGATTGCGAAGGATGCGGGTTCGAGTCCCGTCCGCTGCCTGGTCCGCGTGG